CGATTCACAGAACTATTAAATATTTCTGGATAAAAATGTGTAGTTTGGATCATGAGACTCACACGAACGAGGGGAAGTCTGGGAGGGGAGTGGCTTCAAACAGCAGAGAGAGCCCGGTCTGCACACGGTCTCTGTGGTGGGACGTGAGGGCCAGAGAGAGCGGCGTCACAATCCTCTGGTCCTGAGGGATAAAACAGAGAGAATAACGGCTCGTTTCAACTGAACACAAAACCCTGCGTGCACTAAAAACATGCAGTCAGTGAGAATGTACGGAAGGTAAATAACGTCAGCCTGTATGTAATACCTGCAGCATCCTGTAGAAGCTGGTCTCCATGTCCTTCACATGCTGTCTCAGTTTGCTCATCAACTCCAGGGTCTTCAGCAGAGCTTCTGCACACACCTGACTGAAACCACACACACACTTTAATATCTTAAAATACCTCAAAAGTAGTTAGAAAACTTCCATCAGCTAAATTAACTCAACATCATAACGTAACATTATGTCTATGAGTTCTTTAATTCATCATGAAAAGCTGATTTAAGTTGTTTCAGGATCAGGGTGGCAGCTGACTTTTCAAACTTACATTTGTGCCTGAATGTTATTTGCAGCTCTGTGGGAAGGAAGCATTTTAAGGCCTTTCTAAGTATGTGAGTGGGCAAACGCCTTCGCTTAAATCCTGTTATTAATAGTAACAATACTAAGTATAGAGTGATCCATTTCACATGTGTCTGTTAAGTCACAGACACATCTATACTGGTGGTGTAAAGTAGCCCGTGTCAGTTGTTCTTTTGATGCACAGACTGCAGCTCTCTGAACGTCGTCTGTGCAGTCTGCACGCCAGCTGCAGAGGTCTGCAAGTGTGGTGTCCTTTTAAAAGGGCCTCATTACATTAGTTTCAGCGTTAAGTTTAATATGTTATTGTATGAAGGACAGTCTTGGGTCTGTAGACAGCCAATGACTCAATAAACACGCCCACCAAAGCCTCATCAGCTAAGTTATGATACCAAACTGTACCAGATTAACAAGCAGTAACACTGAGGATA